CTACTTAAAGCCAACACATCGACTTATCTTAGATTTCACTACTTTGAATGTTTGTATTTCTTCAACCAAATAATTGAGTAAAGTCTAAATTTTCAAGCGTCATATCAAAATAGATCTATGGTTTCGACTTTCGAGTCGTGACTACTAAACTATATAGTCATTGACTTATTGATCATTGATGCTTAAATGAAACGAGCTCAAAGGTACTGAGTACTGACAAGTAACTAGTTTTATTTTTAACTCAGATGAAGACTATAGACCAGCTAGTCTATTATAACTTTGTCCCTAGTTTTGTACAATTATGTTTTACTAGCTATGACTTCGTAGTTATAAAAATGTTTAATTATGGGAAAACAAAAATAGAAATAAAACTAATGAGTAATGAAAAAGTGAGATAAGTAAGAAAATCGTATTAAGTATTAACCCAAGCAAAATCGCATAGTAATACTTTGAGTCAGGATCGAAGAAAAGAAGATTAATTACTACACTACTCTATTTTTAGTGCGCATGAGTTTGATTACTACTGCGAAATTATTTGGGTTATCAAATAAACAAAAGTAAGCAAGTGTAAAATTAAAGTGATAACAAATGAAAGCATTGATTTGTAACTCCAATTCTCCTTACATATTAGGGTCGGTAAGCATATTAATTATCACATACCTATTGCAATTAAATTTATATATAAGTTCACGAAGACGATTGGTATTTAAGTTTTTTTTTAGAATACAAACGAAAGCATTGAAAGATGCGTGCAAAAAGAAGAAGTGGGTTTCTTAAGATACGTGAATTAAAACGAGTCAAAGTTTTTGCCGTAAAAGAAAAAACAGTCAAGCTTTTAGATTTGGTTGTATTATTATGGCTGATTTGATTATCATCACACATACACAGGCTTTGATGTTAACACAAGTAAGTGGAAGTTGTCGTCTGGGCCCTACTTCGTTCCTAGTCTTTCGCAATTCACTGATTTAGTTTGACCAAATTCTATCATTTATTATATACGAACAAAATCTACGACACTCAATAAATCTACTTCTTATTTTTGATTATGTTTTGGTGGTTGTGTGTAGTGATTAAAAGCGATTGTAACTTGAAGCTTGCGATTGAACAAAAGTTTGAATGTCATGATTATTCATAACTGTGATTTGTAAATTTATCCAACGCTGATGCCGTTAAGCAATTGTGATCTACGGAAAGAAACACAAGTGTTTACTAATTTTGTAACGTTATTTGTTGAGTATTTTTTTCTTTGTTACCTATAAACATTTTAAAAAATAGACACAAAATTCAATGGATTTTGAATATATCTAATAATGAATATTTAAATGGGACATTTGCAAAAATGTTACTTTTTGTGTCCATATTTACAAAAATATCACTTTTGGTGTCCATTTACAAAAATACAACTAATTATGATTTTTTAGAACCTAAATCTTAAAATTCTAAACCCTAAAAAATCTTTTAACCCCTAAAACCCTTTAAACCCTCAAAACTAAACTCCACATTTGTAAAAATACCATTTTTGGTATCTATTTACAAAAATACCACTAATTATGATTTTTTAGAACCTAAATCTTAAAATTCTAATTAAACTCTCAAAACTAAACTCTAATACGACATAGTTAACCTAAACATAAATGATATAATGAATAAATAATTTTGAAAAAGTAGTGTGGTATTTTTCGAAATTTCTTTATTTAAATCTAAATAAAGAATGATGTCAAATGAATTAAGTTTTTTTCCTTTTAACAAAAAAAAATTAAATTTTTTCGTCAAATAAATTAAGCATGTTTATTTTAATGAGATCAAGCGTTTTAGATTTTTCATAAATTGACCATGATATATCACTAGCTTTGTGTGAGTCTCATTAGTGTATCACAAACTAAATTCAATCAGAATGCATATGTTGTTAAGAAACAAAAATCTCTTACAAATCAATATAACTTGTTTGTTCTTACGTGACTAATTTACTGTTTTTTTTTTATAACTGACTAGTATAATGCTTTTTTTTTTTTTATAACTGACTAGTATAATGTTTTGGACGTAAAATAGAAGATGAAAAAAAAAGACTT